CTCTCCTCTTTCCCCTTAGAGGGGTGAGGTAGGATGGATTGGGGCTTGGAGGGCCCGGCGCTGGTGTCAGTGGGAGCCCAGGGGTCTGATAGGGAGGATGGGGGTTAAGGCCAGCCCCAGCCCAGCTCCCATATTCTATCTCTGTACATGCAACCAGAACTGAAATGATCCAAAATAATGCTTTCTGTTAAGAGGTGCTATTTTGGGGTGTTTCAGCTACCTTTTGGAATGTTTTAAAGGGCTCATGTTTGTCTCCAGCTGCCCTTTTGGAATGCTTCAAAGACATTTGAAACATTTTAATTGTTGTGCGTGTCCATACCCTCGCAGAGGAAAACCCCAGCCCTTGCCCACAAGAAAGCTGCGTTTGACGCTCACAGCCCAATGTATGTTCTTCTAAAGGTGCTTTTACTTGACGCCTGCTTGGCGCTGCTTGAATATTGTCATTTGTGGTTTAGTGATGCTGTTTTAGTCTGTGATACCTAGGAAAGCTTTTCTCCTTCTCTTGGTGTTGCAGATATTGATCCTCTCTCATTTTTCTCTCTTGCCTTTTTCCTTTTTGTGTTCTGACCAGTTTCCTTACAGTATTAACTCAGATGACATCTTTTTGTATTAGTGTGGGTTTTCTTTTCTTGGTTTTAAAGAAGCTTAATGAGGGTGGAGTTCCACTTTCTGCTGAACTTCAAAGACATTTAGGTGCCTAACTTCCTGGGGAAATTCTCAGCTTTTGCTCAAAGGATTCAAAATGATCATTAAAGTCTGCAGCTATATAGGCATGTATAGGTCAGTCCCCAGAATCAAGCCCCAGTGATTCAGTTTCTTAAGCCCTTCCATGACCTTAGATGCTGCAAGTGCCTTGAAGTGCTGGCTGGAATAAATGACTTTGTATTGAAATGCACTTCCCTGATTAAAAGTGGCAGGGAGATGGTCTTGTGTCTGTGCTTTCAGGAGTCTGACCTCACAAGAAAAGGGGAAAGGGAAGATAAAGCTGGCTTCTTTACCAAACTCCAGGGGCAAATCACCAAGGATTAGAGGCCTCTCAGTTATTGAAAGGTTTGCCTAGTGTGAAGTGAGAGGAGCTGACAGTAGCCTACTGCTTGGTGTCCTATTTGTTCTATGACATTTAAGAATTGGAGGCTGTTGTGTTGCAGACAAATGATTGAAGCACTCCAGGTGTTTCTACATGATATCAGAGGGGCATTATGCACTTGCACCTGCAGTGCCCGAAGAAGTGCCTGAGCTCTGTTGTGATGAGTAACTCCTGCCTGGATGCATAAATGGGATGTGTGGGGGTCTGCGGGTAACTGATGCGGCACTGCTCAGAGGTCTGATTGCTGCTGTCGTGCTGGAGATTACTGCAGCTATTGTAATGCCATCTTTGCCTCTGGGGGAAACTTTCCCTCCTGTGTGTCAGTCCATTAAGCACTAATAATCGTTACTGACACGCTCTATTGTGAAAGCAAATAAAACCATTTTAGTTATGATCTGGAGGAACATGGTTTCACCTTCTGATTTTCTGCAAGCTTTGGGGAGAGGCCACGGGAAAACTCATCTCTGGGAGTCTTCAGCCTGAGCTGAAGTCCATAAGCTGGGTCCATGGCATAGGGATGGAACAACTGATCTCATTTCACACAGGTTTGCTGTAACCATGTTAGGAAATAGTAGGAGTGACAAAGGGGCAGGTGGCCTTAAATGCAGCTCATGAAGTTCGGCTTCCAGTGTGAGACCCCTTTTAAAAAAGAGCCTGGTTTTTAGAAAGCCCTGAGCATCCATCAGTTGGAGAGGATGGGTCTTTTTAAAGGTCTCTAAGGGCCTCTAGAAAATTGGGGGCACTGACATTGCTGCCCATCTTTGAATATTTTTAGCCTGTCTCTTGAGTGTACAGAGATAGAACCCCATGTGCCAACCATCAAGTCTGTGGAAGGTTTTATCTGAACAAAACAGGTGACTTTAGCAATGTATTTGCATTGCATGAGCCACCAGGTCCCCAAGTCACAGCCTTGGTCCCATTGTGCTCTGTGCTGTACGAGTGCCTCTCGGAGAATCTTCCAGAGAGCTGACAGTCGAAGTCTAAGCTAAGTAAGATGGGGAATAACTCAATGAGAATGCATAAGGGAAAAATTAGACAATTGTTACAGATAATAGGCCAAGGACTCAGCATGTGAGCTGCCTAATTGTATCTTGAAGCCTGACACAGGAGAACTTTTCGGGATAGATCTGGAGAAGGGCAGTGAGGCAGCTGTACTACGCCGATCAGTTTTACAACTAAGTCACCTGTCTGGCTAGTAGAGAAGAAGATATTTATTCTTCTAGTTTCTCCTCCTGTACCTTCACTGTCTTCATTCAATTTGCTATATATTTCTGTCTTTATAGTTCATTACTTTTCCAGAGCTCTAATAACAGTTCTAGACTAGATCAATTTTCACTACTCCATTTGTATATATTATTCATAGGGCCATGTTTTAAGAGAGCCTAATAGAAAAGAAATAAAAAAAAAAAATACATACTGTGCATGTTCTGAACAGCTCAATTAATAGATTATGCAGCCAAAAGTGTACTGCTACCATAATAACAGTAATTAAATGTGGAGAGTATTTTCAATCTGTTTTATTTTTTAGGTAGATTGGTAATTACCTTGGCTGAAAACAAACTTTGCCCAGACAGTATTTTCCACAATGAAGTTAACAAAGCAAATCATTGTTCTGACTGGTGTAATTACTACTTGATTTTTTTTCAAAGTCTTTTCTGCAGCTAAACTGGAGTCTTATTTAGTGTTGAACACTTACTGTGTTTGTCCTTTAAAATACGGGGGCTTTGAGTTTGACTTGCAGTGAAACGCTTGTTTATTGGATTTGACTGTGCTCTGGCATGGCTTGTAATTTAAAAGGATTCTTCCACTGTTTGACATTAGGCTCAGCAGTTTAGCAGGGATAAATATTATAAGTAAATTAAGTGAAGCAATTCTGAAGTCTCTTGCTGTAAAATAATGCCATTAAATTTGACAGAGTTTACCAGGAGCTGGAGGTGATACTCAAGTTCTGAAATATAGGCTGTAAATCCAGTTTACCTTATCCCCTCCCTTCCTCTCCCCACTGCAATTATATTAGATTTTGGGGTGGTTAATGGTAAGTTTGATTTTTACCAGTGAGCAGTGCAGAAAAACCTGGCTTTTCAAGAAGCTTTTCCTCTAAATTAGAGATGGCTCTTAACTGTGCAAAAAGCTGTTTTCTGCTTGAATAATAAGCCCATTACTGGTAATTAAACCCATCAATTTAAAGAAATGCAGGCTCTTTCTAGCATATGAGTTTGAAAAGCTCCATTCTGGTGTTGCTGTGTAGAACTGTATTTAATAATGCTCTCAGGATTTCGTTTGAAACCTTTATTTGGGGATTAAGATTTCATGCTGGACCAACAGCTGAGATGTGCTGCTGTTTAGGTGGGGGTTCTGCTTTTACAGTGACAACATGCTGTGTTTCCATCCCTGCCTATTTTATGACGCTATACCCTGGGGTGACAGCTTTAATACCCCCTTTGGCTTGCACAGAAGCCCATTAGAGCAAGCTGTGCTGGGGAGATGTGCTTACTCTGTTTTTTCTCCCAGGTGCCTTCTCCATTTGTTCTCCCTACTTCCTGGATGGTGGTAGCTTACTTTTGAGCCCTTTGTGGCAGGGAAAGTTACAGTTGCTTCTTACTACTGAGGTTTTCCTCAAGAGATTGTGATGCTCTGGGCTTTACACTCAAGTTGAATTTGCCTCTGTTGTATACCCATCCCAACATGCATTCCCTATTCCTGTGCTGTGCTGCGGAGGAAGCTTTTTCATGGTTTGATACAGAAGGATCCATTTAGTAAATACTTCTACAGGCTGTCAGCTGCTGTTCACTCTGACCTAACCCTGTTTCTTAAAATTGCGTGTGGTGCAGTTCTGCTCCACTCCTAAATGCAAAGAAACCTTGTTTTAATTAAGTGTTAAACTTTAGGATCCCTAGCCCTCTCTCCCCGGTTGCTAATAAACCCCTCATTCAAACACAAAAATAAACAACACCCCCCCCCCCCCCCAATGATTGCTGACATTAGAAGAAAACCATATTGAAAGCTGAAGCTTGCCTAAATGCAGCGTGGCTTGTTTGACATGTATCGTCCATCTGTGTGGATGAAGGAAAGCTGCCTTACTTGCTGTTATGTAGGCATTTCCGGTGTCCTTGTTGCAGAGACTGCCCCCTCCACTCAAAAAAAAGTTGCTTTTACATAGGAAGGACAATTCTGAGTCTCTTGCTACTAAATGAATCTCTGCGATAAAGAAGAGTCACTACTTATTAATACAAATCCCAGGAGCCAAAGGTTTATATAAAAGGATGGAGCTTTAGTTGCCCAAAGCAGTTGGAGTCGTTCCTTTGTGGCCTGGAGTTTTGAAGAGGCATGCTCGCTTTGGGGAGGATGGAAAACAGTCTCTTAAAACCTGATCTAGCTCGCCTTGAAATCAATGGGAATCCTTCCCTCTTGACTTCAGTGGTTTATAAGCAAAGATGAGTGTGCTTGGAGGCTCAACCTTTGACCTCTTAGTAACAAACCCAGTTTAGGTGGCAAATCCTGTAATGTTCCTATTGGTAGCTTTGGGCAGGCTTTGCATTGCTGCAAGCTGCCAGAATTTCATATGCCCATGCCAATTAATGCTGTCGCATAGACTGTAATGCAATATGTTGGAAGTTGAGAAGGACTCTTGAGTTGAATGCGGAAATTGCCACGCATGTTTGAAAACCTTGGCCACGGTTCCTAATATGTAAGTCTCTATAGGGCTGAACCAGCTATTTGGGTACCTTGACATCCAACTGTTATAAATTTGACTTAAAAAACTGGGGCTGCTTTTTACATCAGGCCTTCACAGAAGTGGTTCTCAACCTTTCTAGACTCAAGGCACCCCGCAGAAAACGCCAGCTCTTAGTTTTCACTTTTTTTTTTTTACTACAGAATAATAAGACTAATTCTTCTGTTGCTGAGGACTCAGAAAGACCACAGCAGGTCAGAATGTTTTAACACTATGGGTTCCTGTTTGAAATCTCTGGGTTTATCTAGTGCATCATGTTTGCACAGCTAATAATGCTAACAGTGTGTTGCACCCTGTGGCACCCTTAAAATCGTAGAAAGTATGGGTTGGAAGGGACCTCAGGAGGTCACATCTAGTCCAACCCCCTGCTCAAAGCAGGACCATTTCCCAACTAGATCGCCCCAGCCAAGGCTTTGTCTAGCTAGGTTTTGAAAACCTCCAAGGATGGAGAGTCCACCACCTCTCTGGGTAACCTGTTCCAGTGCTTTACTACCGTCCTACTGAGAGAATTCTTCCTAATATCTAACCTAAACTTCCCTAGCTGCAATTTGAAACCGTTGCTCCTTGTTCTGCCATCTGCCACTACTGAAAATAGTCCAGCTCCATTCTTTTTTGAACCCCCCCGTCAGGTAGTTGAAGGCTGCTGTTAAATCCCCTCTCAGTCGTCTCTTCTCCAGATTAAATAAGCCCAGTTCCCTTAGCCTTTCCTCAGAAGTCCCCTAGCCCCTGACCCATTTTTGTTGCCCTCCGCTGGACTGTCTCCAACGTGTCCACATCCGTTCTGTAGTGAGGGGCCCAAAACTGAACACATGCTCAAGATGTGGCTTCACCAGTGCTGAATAGGGGGGAACACTCATTTCCCTTGACTTGCTTACCAGTGCAGCCCAGTATGCCATTCGCCTTCTTTGTAACAAGGGCACACTGTTGGCTCATATTCAGCTTATTGTCCACTGTAACCCCCAGGTCCTTTTCTGAAGTGCTGCTGCCCAGCCAGTACTGGTGCATGGGATTGCTTGGTCCTAAATACAGGACTTTGCACTTGTCCTTGTTGAACCTCATTAGATTTCTTTTGGTCCAATCCTCCAATTTATCTAGGTCACTCTGAATCCTAGCCCTACTCTCCAGTGTCTCTACTACTCCCCACAGCTTGGTGTCATCTGTAAACTTGCTGAGGGTGCACTCTATGCCATCTTCCTGGTCGTGGTTGAAGACATTGAACAAAACTGACCCCTGGAGCCACTCCACCCTTGAAAGGATCTCATGGCACCCTTGATAAGACTCATTACTTTACAGTCTAAGTAAAAGTCTAGAGTTAAATTTTTTGAGACGGAGACCATCTGTTTAGCCTATTTGCACAGCAGCTTCCTGGTCTATAAATGGCCCAAAACAAACCTGGGGAACTCCACATTGTGATCTTGGGCAAGTATCTTCAGTCTTTGTCAGTTCCCTGTCTATACCATGGGAGTGATAGCACCTTCCTACCCCATAAAGGCACAATGTGGATAAATACATCAGCCTGAGAAGCTGTCAGGCACTGGGGCAATGAGAGCTTTAAGTACCTTGGGTGGATTGAATTAGTCGTTAGAGTAGACTAAAGCTACTTGTCTGTGTAATGGATTAGATTCTCAAATAACCCTTTCCCCCTGGGTTACCAGTCTGAGTCCAGCCCAGGTCAAGAGTGGCAGAAGTGCATAGGCATGATAATAGCTGTTGAGTGGGCTGCTGTGAAGTGGGTTTGGGTCTCTGCCCAGATGTTGCCATTAAGAGGGATCAGCACTGTAATTAGTGCTAAGTGGCCCTCTCTTAATGGCAGTCTTGGATGAGGCTGGAGCGGGCAGTTAGAATTGGCCTCTCATGACCCCCTGGAGTTGGGAAACATGGGAGAAGTGTGGAGGGAACTTGCACTGCCATTGCCTGTCTTTTCCCTGTTGTAAGGACTGTCAACATAGCGTGTCTACAGAATTAGAAGCAGACTCTGTACCTGCTCATTAACAGCCTTTGAGGATTGTTAACTCTCCCAGTTGATGCTTTTGCCTTGGTGTAGTCCGTTCTGCATATTTTTAAATCCAATATTATCTTGTGGAAGAACAGTTCTGCAATATAGATGCATATACAATCAGTAGCATCAGATATAAAAAATTTATTTTCTACAAGATATTTATAATTATTTACATTAATGCATTTTACATCACATACATATATATTATTCATTTAAATTATAAAATAAATGTAAGTTTAAATTATAACTTTAAAATGCATATTTAAAATATAAAATATTTTATAAAATATGAAATGGTACGGGTACCACCAGCAGCATGCAGACAACCTGTCTGTGGTATGCATTAACAGATTTATTATAATTACTTTATATGACAGATATTTGCTGGTGGTAGTTAAGGTTGAACTGAAAAATTTGCAGATGGTACTTAAGGTTACATCGTTTTAAATTGGTGGTGTGCAGTCTGTCAGAGTTTGGGAGCCACTGATGTACAAGACTAGTCTTATTGGGAACCTCTGGAGTCTAACCTAAATTTAAACAGAAGCACCCAAATGTGGGACTGTCTATAAGGGTCTGACTTGTTTCACTCCGTCCTGCCTGTAAATTGCACCTGAGACTCTACTTTGCTGTATCCTAGCAGGGCAGCAATTGCAAAGGAGCTGTTGTTAAACATCTGTGGCTTTAAGGACCCCATCTTTCAATAGACTCTCAGCTCTTCTTAGCTAACCTCCCCCTGCCATGCCATGTCTGGGGCAGCTCAGACCTACAAAAAATGGTATTTGGTGCCTGAAACTTGTTTAAAATCTCTCCCAACTATACCATTGGTCCAATAAAAAAAATCACCGAAGAAATACTTGCCTGGTATTTCCCAGACAATTATGGCTACGTCACTCCAACCCTACTACATGCCTGAGGCATGTCACTAGCAAGAGTCCTTACAAAGTACTTCCCTGCCTCTACCACTTTGCTGTCACAGGCCAAGTTTCTTAGCTTTGGAGGAAGCTCAGATCTCCCCCTCCTGCCCGCAGGCCTGGCACCACATCTCTGTTACATTCACTGAGGACAGAGTGGGAGCTTTGAGTTTGCTGACAGAGCTGCAATGGCTCTGAGAGCTGGGCTCCTTGAACCTCACCTTGTGGTATGCCGTGACCCAGGAGGAAAGAGCTCTTTTGTTTCCAAAGTGCCAGTGACAGGTTTTGACAGGGGTGTGTAAGGAGCCGAGGGCTGCAGAAGATGATTTAGTCCATCTCTTTCCTGAGGCCTGTCTTCTACCTCTTTGCCCAAACTAGTTCTGTTTGTCTTCAGGGCTGGGACTTCCCTGTTTCACAGGTCGCATTGGATGTTTTCCTCTTCTGACATTTTGCTTATATTTGCTTTTTCACTTATCCCAGTACCAGAAGCAAAAGGCCAGGAAGTGAGGATATAAAATGAGTTGATGCTGAGTCACCGAGGTGATGAACAAGGGGCCATGTCAGGTTAATATGACTAGATTAAGCTCCTCTGGGCTGTTCCAAGCCCATTCCTCATGTCACCAAACACATATTTCCAATCAGTGATGTATCCTGCTGGACTGGTTCTTATTTTTTTTTTTAAATGGCAACAGGCTTGTTTTTCTGTCCTGTTGTGGCTACCTGTCAGGTGAAATGTCAGCAAGAATGGGCTTCCATTTAGCTGTCCCTTTTTTGTGTGCCAATGAATTTCAGAACCAAAATGATCAGTGATGTATCTGTCACTTCCAAGTGTAACTAGGTGCAGGGTGAATCCACCAGCCAGCTTCCAACAAAGGTCTTTCCCACTGCAAACGGCTTTAGCATCAGCTCTACTCATTCATATCACTTGCACATCCTGTGCACCCTGCATCTGACTCTCTCTATTGCTAAAGAGTGTAACATTTTTAAGTTGGGCCTGACTTCTTCCCTTCTGGGGGTTAGGAACTCATGTAACAATTGTGCAGAGACAGTCCCAGGCTGGGCACACCAGCAGGAAGTGCACCTTGTTTCACAAAGCCTAGGAAATGTGCTCTGTACTCTGCTGGCCCCCATTGCTAGCACATTTACCTTTTTGGCTTAAAATTGCATGCGTTCAAGCTCTGTGGTGGGCTGGGCTCTGACTTGGTGGTCATGCGTCTATCTTCTCCCTTTTATAGCTGCCTGTGGTTCCCCTCACCCTCCACAGGCAATGCAGGGCAGAAATCAATGTTGCCAAGTGATTTTTAACACACTTCTGCCACCAAGTGTTGCTTGCCTGGCCTCTGCTAGCCTTTGGCCTGAAAGGCCCCCTGAATGTCTTCAGTCTTCCCTCCTCTGATTACATGGTGTTTGTGCACAGGGGTTTCAGCAGAGCTCTACTTAGCTTCTCCTTGGCGCTTACTCTCATTTTTGCTCTCACCTTTTCCTGGCTACTGGGCGCTGCTAGCTCTGTGGTTTCATCCCAGGTCTGACTAGCAGTAGGACGGTGAAGTGGAAATCATGGTGACTTCTAGCACAGACTCTATCGACCAGCAGTGAGAAACGGCCAGAAAAAGCAATTTCAGGTTGTGCAAATGGAGGGAGGCCCTTTGAAGTTTTCCCCTGTTATGTACATCCTGCTGCCTCTTCAACTTGAGGAGGCTGTAAAAATAAATCAGCCACCAGGATTGCGCTGAGGTCACAGGCAGCCTATCTGCCAGAGATGTTCTGTGGAGCACCTATCCAGCTGGATGAAGATGCTTATTAATAGGGTGAGTTATGATTGCTGGAGAAAACTTAAATTATTCCTTCAAAGTACTGGCTAGCCACTGAGAAGAAATTCTTGCTACAAAGCAGTACTCCAGACAGCAAGGCTCAGCCTTGTGTAGGATGATGACAACAAAGCAGGGGTGGTAGCAACTGATGATATGAGCTGAAGTCTCCATCAATTAGCCCATCTACTAATTGCAACCAACTTGCTTACCACTATCTATGAGTGCTATTAAGACAGGGCAATAATTTTGGAAATTATAGATTAGCTCAGAGCAGTGACTGCTCCTAATTGAGAAAAGGGATGGATAAATCCAAAGCAAATTGGGTTGTTTTTTGGTTTTGTTTTGTTTTGTTTTTTGGGGGGGGGAGGGGTTCTATCAAATAACTGATTCACTCTCAAACACAAATAATCTTTTTTTTTATGTAAAGCACTAAATACATCTTGCTTTATCCAGTCCCAAGGGTTCCACCTGCATGGGGCTCACGAATGGGCAAGGAGATGAAATATCTGTTCTCTTATAGATGATGCCAGGGGTTGGTAACAGTGACTTGAAGGGCTTTTTATGGCAGCGCTGGGATTTGTTTGGCTGGTTGAAAACAACAGGATACGCTCCTGTTGGCTAATGGGTGTCCTTTAACAGTCCTGTCAGCAGATCTCTAATCAACATGCAATGGCCAATCGCACACTGGATGAGAGAGTGCACCACAGCCCCTGTCCACAGTAATAACTTTCCTGCGTGAAGTCAGCCATGCAAACAGCGGTTTTGGCTGGGGGTAGTTGATTTTACGCTGATTCTCAATTAGGAGTGGATGCCTTTTAAAAAGCTTTCCTCCAGCTCAGCCAGAAGCAAGGGGCATGAGAGACGTTATCAGGTTAAATTCTGTGGCCTGTGTTTATAGCACAGGTCAGGCCAGGTGGTCATCATGACCTCCTTGGCTTTAAAAGGCTTTGAATCTTGCAATATCTTGTAGCCTGCAGGTTATATTTACACTGAACCTTCCACCACAGGCAGCTATGGGCCAGAAAGACACACAAACTGCCTAGTGCAGGTTCACCTTTATGCCTGGCCTACTTAACACTTTTCCTTTAAAATTATCTTCCTCTGGTGCAAGCTGTGCTGTACCTATGGTCTTGGTTCCCCCTAGGATTTTTAACCCCTCTCCTACGCCACCTTTCCTTCCTCTACATATGTAGTACATAAACAAGGGACAGAAATCCTCAGGTTTGTAGGGTGAAGCCAACTTCTAACAAATGCAGATTAGTTGGAAACTTTCCAGGAAAGAGGTAGGGTCATCCTATCAATGCCTTATAAGAGTCCCTTATTTTTCCTTCCATATCATCTGGTGTTGACCTTTGATGGAGGTGATACTGGATTAGAGACAGCAGTGTCTTGATCTGGCTTTGACAGTTATGCCCCTAATATCAGTACAGCATTTATACACGATCAGTGTGCATGTGAGGTTCTGCCTATATCTGAAGGCCTCATTAAAAATAGAGCTGTTTAAATATTTGTGGTTTATTAATGCTCTGTTTTGCTGTGGTTGAGGACCTGCGTTGTTTGCTCTGCTGCTATCTTGTAGAGCAGCACTGATCTCTGATAAACATGCAAGGTATAGATAAATACAAGCTATGTCATGATCTCTCCAGCAATAAATTTAAGAGAGTGAATAATGTTCATTGATGCAATGCATTGTGCAGGCAGTAGCCTGCACATTAGCAGAAATAGGAAAATTACATTAGATTCATCTACATTTAGTCATGGATGAAATCCTTTTGACAAAAAGGGAACAGTCACAGCAAAATGGGCAGGTAGGAACTTATAATAGTTTCATATTAGTAATTAGTCATCACAATAATTCTTTTATAGGTGACTAATGGTGGTGGAGAGATGGCACAAGCTCTTTCAAGCTTCAAAGCTTTTGAGGCAGATCTTGAAGCCCCAAATCAATGGGAATGTGCTGGAGCAAGAATTGGAGCAGAGTTTGTAAGGCTTGCCTTGTTAACATTTCGCGTCTCCTGCCTGCCTGCTCCTGTCTGTACTGTCCAAACCCAGATGTGCGTTTTACATGCACTGAAGACCCAGCTCGGGCACATGCCGCTCCAGAGCAAGATGTCCCACTGCGCAGCCCTGTAGCTGTTGCTCTGGACACAGTAGTTCCTGGAGATGAGTCCAGCTATTGCAGTCCCCAGAATGATTGGAAATGCCCCCATTTAGCCTCGTAAATTTTTGGTGGCGGAAACCCCATGGGTTAAAGTTGCATCTCTCCGCAAAACAACTTCTCACTTTTAAATGGCTTCTCTGGATAGGCTGACAGCAAGTCCAGCCTCTCTCTCTCTGCTGATGGCCTTCTGCATTACCCAGGCTTGCCTGAAACCTCTTCCACTGTACTAACCTGCATCACCGTTGCAGCAGAGTCAGTCTTCATTGTAAATGTTGCACTAAGTTCCTTTTAACTTTCCAGGCCAGTTAGACACCAAATACTAATAATTTGCTCTTTCTCCTGCTTTCTGCTCAGTGTGCACTGTATACCAAAAGGGAAAGCTTGGGTTTCTACACAGTAAAGTTTGTCTCGGCTCTATAGAGTCTGATACATCCCTCTCACTTGTCCCTGGTAGCCGCAACTGAGGATTGGCAGTGCTGAGCATTTATGAACGACTAGCAGCAGCATATTATTGGAGTGACTTGATGGAGAGATCAGGGTCCCTTCATTTTGCACACTTATTATAAATGTTGCCATTCCAAGAGAGTTCAGCCTGGTTAATTCTTTAACCTTAAAGGTCCTTTTAATTCAGTTAAATAATTTAATGGATTTTTTGGAAAAGGAGGATGTATGCCCTGAGTACAGCCAGAATTCAGTAACAGTCCAAAGAAATGAGAAGCTGACTCATAGGGCCGCAAAGATTTCCTCAACCAATTAGCCGTGAAGTGAAAGCCACTCTATGCTTTGTTCCTCTGCCTGACATGGAGCAGGGTTCATTCATTGTAATCTTATTTTTCACTTGCACCATACATCTGAATTTGTTATTCTTGCTGCTCTTTGGAGCTGATGCCAAGCAGAAGTCAGGAGGGCAGCCGTAATCTCATGGCACTAGCTGGACCTGGTTTTATTTTGTACATGTTTATACTGGAGATGGCTGTGTATCTCCTGACAGCAGCTTTTTGAGCCTGTAAGTCAGAGGTTCTGGTCCTGTAAGGAGATGGGTCCTAGTCATGGTGCATGAATATAAACCTGTGTGCCAGTCTTTCCAACTTCTGCCCGTAACCTTTTAGCCCATTTCAAGCCAGGAATGGGTTGACTGGGCCAAGTGGAAGGGAAGTTCCTAATATGTGTTGTCTGTAGACGTGACCGACCATAAATTCAATGATTTTAATGAGACTGGTCCTTAGGTAAGACTGGAAACCAGATGCTCTTGATTGAATCTCTTAAAAGAGATCTGCCAGTTGGTGGCATTCAATTATGTGATTGCTACTATGATAGTTCCTACTGGCTCTGATAGTGCCCACAGTATGCCTGTGCTGCAAAGGTGCCATTGCAGCCTGTGAAGATGTGCCCAAAACAGTTTTAAACCAAATAATTCAGGTACTTGTAATAGCGGTGTCACTGGGGCAGTGGGGGAGCTCAACACAGATTGCAAAACCCACCCAACACCCTGATAAAATACTTGGGCAGTAGCTTGTGCTGGGGACCGTGCTGCCACAGCTACCCTGATAGCAGTGCCCAAACTCACTAGTTTACAGCTCTACTGCGAGCTTGGGCACTGCTAGCAGCATAGTTAAGTGAGCCCCTCACTATCCACTCTGTTACGCTCATGGGAAACCCAGACTCACTCCTTTGACTTCCATGGCATCACTCTTAGTCCTGTGTATTAAATATTTTATCAGGGTTAAAATAAGGTGGATGGGAGGCGGGGTTGAGGAATCCAGCTTTGCTTTCTGGCCAGTACTGCTAAAAGATAATTCCCTTCCTCCTTGGCCAGCACATCAAGAACACTCCCACCCATGTCGGTCTACTTTGAGCTGCTCTGCATAGCGCAGCTTGAAGACAATCCAGCTGAGGGGTGGAGTGGGCTGTGCATGTGTGATGCCAGCAACATAAGCTTAAATGCTAAAATAAGCAAGGGTTGGGTTTTGTAGGCATTCTTGTCACTCATCCTTTGCAGGGCATCTGTGAAGTCTTTCTTTCTCTCTTATTTGAAGTAGTTGATGGCCTAGTGCAGTGAGTGCATTTGAATTATTAATGCTATATTTATCTTGTCAGGTTTGTATCTGTCTTATCTGTTGTATGTTTTATGGTTTTCCTGTTGTTTACAAGCTCCCTAGAATGGCTGGGCAGATGGCTCCGTGCTAGCATTTATCATGCTTGTTCTTTCTTGAAAAGGGCAGAAGAGTCAAATAAGGGTGCTTAACTCATGCATATCAGGATGAAACCTGGTATGGGGCACGGATCATCCCTCAGCTGCCTGCTGCAGAGTTCTCGCATCTACCCTGGCAGCCTGTGGTCCTGGCTGCTGTCAGAGATGGGGTACTGGTCTCAGTAGATGTTGGCTCTGATCCAGTGTGGCAGTTCCTGTGAAACCAGGGTGCTTGCAGTTACACCTGTGGATAGGTGTAAGGGAACCTGTAATGCAAGCAAGTTAAGGCAGACAGATTGTTTGACTTGAATCAGGGAGGAGGGATTTGGGGGGAGAACATATGTCAGGAAGATGCAGGGGTGTAGGTTGTAGCCGTGTTGGTCCCGGGACATAGGCAGACAAGGTTCTGTGAGTGAATATGGTATCTTTTATTAGACCAACTTAAATAGTTGGGGGAAAACAAATTTTGGCACGCTTTTAAGTTTAAAAACCCTTCCTTCGTCTCTGCAGTTGGTGTGTGCTCTTCCTGGATGGAACGAATAGAGTAAAAGACTTCCTCAGCCTGACGAAGGGTTTTTAAACTCGAAAGTTTGGCAACATTTTTTTCCCCCAGCTATTTAAGTTGGTCTAATAAAAGATATCATATTCACCCAAAGAACCTTGTCTGCCTTTTGGGGAGATGGACATATAATTGGAATAGTTCTGTGTCCATCTTTAATAACCAGCTCACAACATATATGCTAATGCAGTGGTTCTCTTTTGGACTCAAGAAACACCCTCTCTTTGGATTCAAGGCCACCCCTCCATAGCTTTTGTGAACTGAGTGGCACCCAATTAAAAAAAAAAATCTTTATAGTAGGGATGGAGGATGACCCAGGCAGGGAAAAGTCTGAGCCTGCCTGTGCTTATCTGTTTAGCTTGTCTGATTATCTCCTAACTCTTGGCTTATCTCTTCACACCTTGCATTACTCTTCAAAAGATCTGGTGGCTCTGCCAGGCTTCCCAGGCACCCTGGTTGAGAATCACTGGGCTGATGTCTCATCCAAATCACCCTGAACCAGATGGCGAGATTCCTTCATCTTGTTACAGTGCCTGTGGTCTGTGCGTCAGAAGCACTCTGGTCCACTGTGTGACTTGTAGCTGATCAATAAAGCACGCTTGTTAATAAAAGTTTCCCTTTTTATCATATGTCGCAAAAGTTATTTCCAAGCCTTAATTAAGCTTCGCTATACCTCTGTGAGGGTTCAGCCCATTTTATTGATGAAAAATAAGAACAAAGCAATTTATAGGTCTGGTTTTTGTGAGGACACGTAGGTGCTCAGTCTGTGACAGCTCATGCTTTAAATTTTAACCATAGGTATAAGCTTTTGCTGGATCAGGGGCAAACTTAATCTGACCAAGGTCCTGAAGCATGTCTTTATGCAAGCAGGCAATGGAACCCTCACTCTCGCTTCTTCGCACTGTCCTGTTGTAGCATTGCCCCTCAAAAGCCATTAAAATGCCTAGGCAGGCAAGGCTCTTCGGGTAAATCTTTTATAAGGCCAACTAAAATACATATAGTTGGAAAAAATTTTTTGCAAGCTTCCACGTATACTCTTTTTCAGGCAGAGGGAGGGTCCACAGTTTGCTTGTTTTTTTAGCCCTTCCTGGATGGGATTGAAGCCAGAAGCCAGTATGCGAGAACGCAGGTCAGTGAAAATGCAAATGTGGGGCAGTGAGGGTTTGAGTGCCCAGCCTGAGCTGTTCAAAAGCAGCTTGATTTTTTTTTCATGACGTGCCAAGTCCTCACCTTCTGAAAATCAGGCCCCTTTAAGGTGCATCAAAATTCAGTGGTCATTTGGGGAATCTCGGTTACTCCATTGGGATGAAATGGTTTGTGCTGTTGATAAAGCCAGGACCCCAGTGTGCTAACATACATAAGGGTTAACTGCTAAAATATTATGTTTAGCTGTGGGGCTGTTTTTATGCATTGATTTCATGCTGACTTATCTTCCCAGCAGATTTTTTTCCCCTTTTGCACAAAGTTAATTACATTTGAAAGAGAAGATCTAATTAGGAACTTATGACTGTATGATTCTGAAGCTTGTGTTCTGGTTTTCCTCCTTTGGGGACCCTAAATCGTAAGAATTATCAGTCACCAAACTTCAGCGTTGCCAACTACGGGCATTCAAAAATCATGAGTCAGTCCTTCCTGAAAATCATAAGATTGACTTCAAAATTCATTAAATTAAAAAAAAATTGAATTGTCTTCTAGGTTTTTATTTTTCAGTGTTCAGACTTTCAGCCATGAGGGATAGAAACTTTGTTTTTTCTGTAAGTAAAAAGTGAAACTTCAGCTTCATTATATGAGAAGATGCTGATGCTGCCAGGAAAAATGTCCGAAGTATTGCAAGACACATGTTAAGATGACCTGAGCTGGCAACACAAAAACTTCCTTTTTGTTTGATCTATTTAAAATGGCAGATTGAAAAATAATGGGCTGTGCCTAGCTAGCCCCTTTCTGTTTTTTCCAGTTGAAAATGTGTTCACAAACTTTAAATCAAGGTCACCAAACAGCACAGAAGGCTTTTACTTTTGGTTACTTTGCACCTTCTTTGCAAAGGTTCTGAGCACCTGTGGCTTGCATCAGGTTCAGCTGATGTTGAAAGCATTCAGCACCTCTGAAAACTAGGCCCTTATGAATTGGGGGGGGGGGGGGGGGGGGGGGCACCATG